CCTGAGGGGCGAGGCAGGACGGCCCCGCGGGCCAGTTTGACCACCTCTGTTCTAGCCAGTTCTCCCTGCAACAAGCCTAATGGGAAGACTATAGCAAAGGTTTAGTTTGCAAAGGCTATCTAACATGCATTTCTAGTAATTCCATCACTTTACCATCTGGGACATGAAAAAAATTTCTTCTTCATTGAACAGTTTGGAAGCTTTTTTGGTTTGTGTCTTGTTACATCTATTATTTATATATTTTGATTAAACCCAATCAGCATACCTGGGAATGTTATTGTTTGAATCTTCACTTTCATTTGCCAGGCCACCGAATAAATAACACTTGTTACCATATAAAGAAAAGCTGTGGCCAAGTCGAGGACAAGGTAGTGAACCAATAGATGGAGGCTGAGGTTTTACTTTTTTCCACAGCCATCGACTTGCCTTAAGGGGGGCAAGGGGGAAGGGAAGAGAGAAAGAGGGAGGAAAAAAAAGAAAAAGAGCTTCAGAAATCAAATCTGCTCACATACAATCAATAAGTGTAATTTGAGAGTCAAGGTTATAACATCATGGACTATTCTTTGCATATATTCTGTATAATGTTTAGCTGAGTATTAATTCATTGAATATTTCCTGATACCCTCCTAAATCAAACAGGAATAAAGCTAAGTAACAACTGATAATAAATTAATGATGAAGTAAAACCTAATTACAATGCTTATCCACGCCAGCTTTCTAAGAGTTGCAGACTGTCAGATCATTCCAAACTCAATGTATTATTTTACTTAAATAGAAGTGGAATCTTTTTGTTGCATTTATCCATTTTGCTATCTTTAAAACTGAAAGGTCTTTATTGCATTTCTTACCTGTAATTCATATAAATCATTACTGTATCTTCCATATTCAACCATTCCTCCGAACACTAATATTCTGGTACCATCGCAGACAAATCCATGGGCTGCACAGCCTGGAGGAATATCTCCTCTAACAGCAGGAAGAAACCACTGATTTGTAGCTATAGTATAAAAAAATATATATTTTTAACACCAACAGAGTGAATTGATGCTCCTTTAACAACTCTGCCATCAAAAGAGGGACACATAAGAGACACTTTCTTCTTTATTGACTGTAGGTGGCTCTGAATGGGAAAGGATAACAATAAAGAGGTTATAAAATAAAAAAGGTCAATTGATGGAAACAACACATTAATCACTGCTCTGTGAAACAGCTGTTACTGAACATAAACTCTGGCAAGTCAAGTGTAAAAGTATAATTAGTCAGGCCAAAAAAGAATCTGCAGAGCAACTAGCAAAAAACAAAAACTAATAGTAAAATATTTTAAGCACATCAGAAACAGGAAGCCAGCCAAACAATCAGTGGAGCTACTGGATGACTGAGATGCTAAAGAAGCACTAAAGGAAGACAAGGCCATTGCGGATAAGTTAATTGAATTCTTTGTATCAGTCTTCACTGCAGAGGATGTGAGGGAGATTCCCATATCTGAGACATTCTTTTTGGTGACAAATCTGTGGAACCGTCCCAGATCGAGCATACAAGGTCAAAGTGGGTAACTGTCATGCCCAAGCCACACAACAGAAATAGTTCTGGCTTCCTATACAGTTATACTAAGTTCTAGATCACACACTCTATGCCCCTGTCGACACTAGAGAACCTTTTGAAAAAAATTCCCATTATT